TTGCTGTTTTTATGTGTGATAACAGACATAAATCGAGGTAAGGCTAGGCCTAGCCTAGCAGCGTTGGATAGGCTAATGTTTTCGGTGCCTACGACATTTCTTCTCACAACCTATCGCAAAATCAAACATGAAAAATTCATCCGCATTTATTTTTTGTGTGGAACACAAAAAATCAAATTTCAGTCTTATTTTACATTTTTTTCTTAGGAATGTCTAAATTCAGTTAAACTAGCAATTCCGTATTATATTTATAAATCTTTATAACATTATACAAAAATTAGATTTTTCTTAAAAACTGAAATTTTCCCGGGAATGGGACTTTAAGACACCACAATAGTAACCAATGACAGGAAGGAGGGCTTAGGATTTCTTACTTGTCATAATGCCTAATGAGCGGGAAGAAAAAGTGCCCAGCAAACTCAGCAAATCTATTTTCAGTTGGTTTCATTGCAGGTTTTCTTGGTCCCTGTAAAGCCATCAAAACAACTTTTAGATAAATATTTCTACCATAACATGAATAGACATCTATTTTTTTACATGGGATATCTAGTAATGTTGATTTTTATAGTATTTATAACATAATCAATATAAATTAATTGAATGTACTAATCAGCTTACTATAATCTAATGTTTCTCACCTTGCCAAATCTTCTCGTTTTACTATCAATTCGTCTTTGTACAATATCTTTCCAATGCTCTGCTTTCACCAAACCTTTATCAGTTTCCATAGCGACTTGGGTTGGTTTGTCTAGTTGTGATTTCTTTTCTCCAGAGAGAGGCTTTGATAGCTGTTGAGATGCATCAGCCAGAACCTGCCACAAACAATACAGTATTAAGTCCTGTCCACACTATCAAATTATTTCACAAAAACATGTGACATGCCTAAATATGGTCATGATGACATCACATCATGATCACATGTGAGTCTTGCCACAAAATGAGTCTCATGGTTAGAAATTCAAAAATTGAGTTTATATTATATTTGGGTAGATCACATTATAAGCTTTCGTTTGGTCTTTAAAAGGCTTCCCTACTATAAGTAAATCCAGAGATGTGAGCATTTGAAGTTTAGGTGTATAACAACCACGTTTTAAGAAATTTGGCCTCAAACATAAACTAACCTGTACAAATAATACGACTATGTGCAGAGAACACTGTCTTGGCAAGAAAATATCATAAAATCATAAAATATAAGTATCAAATTATTCAAAAACATTAAAATCAAAATTTTGTAAAAATGTTGATTTTGGCCTGTTTTGGTGAATATCTCAATATGATTTCGCCAACGATGCATCTCATTTTGTGGTGAGACCTCACATATATAGGCACATCATGACCATAAAACAGTTCTTGTCAAAGAAAATTTGATAATCTGGACCGAGTTTAAAAATATTCTTAAAATATTGTTTTATTATTTTGAATAGAATTTTTGGAATTTTTATCCATAATTTTTATGTGTCTTTATGTTGGATACATTGATTTTGTTCATAATTCAAAATCTTCCATTACAAAGACATCCCCAATCTCTTATTCTTACATTCTTCAGTCATATTTTCTTCCTCATCTTTTTTATAGGTGTGTATAAAATGTATTGTATTATATAAGAGGGATGTTGTTGCAAAAGGACAATCCATATAAATCAATTTTTAAAATATCTTGTTCACTATTTATATATTTCATTATGATTAATTGCTGTATCAAGTTTAAAGATTTACCTCGAGCATGTCTAGCCTCTGTTTGATGTTGTAATTCCTATCATAAAATTCTTGAGTAAGAACACCAGCTGCCTATGAAAAACAATGAATGTAATTTATTTTTTTAAATAAATTCCTGCAAAAACAGAGAGAAACAACAGACAACTATGTATTGGTGTGCTGTGGAGTGGCATAATATTCTCTACTTTTAACGCCAACATAATGTCAATGGCTGCCAAATGTCTGAAATAAGATGGCTACAAGTACCAGTACCAGTACCAGTACTTTGACATATAAAAGCAACTGAATTAAATTAAATCCCTAATATGTACTGGAAGCCCATTCCACCTATGAATAAATATTGTACATAAAAAATGCATATATGTGGCAGCTTTGTATTTGGAATCCTAAGGTATTGGATTCTGGACAGACACGAGTCAGATGAAGAAACAGACGTGTACTAAACAGACAGGTGTACTAAAAATACAGGTGAAGAAAACAGACAGGTGTAACAAACAGGTGTACTAAACAGACAGGTTCTTACCAATTGAGGGGCTCTGACAGCCGCTGCCACTATAGCAGAATGTCGAAGCTGAGCGAAGTTTGTTGTACTGAATCTGTCTTCAACAGATAACAGAATCTTCATATACTCCACACACACCTAAAGCAATAACCACAATCCTATGCTAGAGGTCCAGTATACTGTAAAAGCTTGAATTGAAGCCCACTGGGTTTAATCTCGAGAAGAAGCCCATTTTGAATTGAAGCCCCCTTCTTCAGTTTGAAAAATTAGGCTAGTACAGGATAGCATAGGCTTCTTTTCGAGATTGCGCAGTACATACACTGTACATGAATTTAAATGAAACAAAATAAATTAAAAACATGCTTGGTTTATACAGTAGTTAAGGTGATTTAATGCCGGTTAATACACTCCAAATACAAATACAAAAATTCTTTATTTCATCAAAAATAAATTCAGATACATAAAATTAACGGACAAGAATTAAAACTGACAAAAAAGGAACCCTCATGAAGCCAGAAGTGCCTTGTTAAAAATAGAGAGGGCCTACATGAATCAGTACAAAAAAGCTATAATAAAAAATTAATATGTTTTTGAATGTAAATTTCATAAAATTTTACCTCTTTAAAGTCTGGTGCAATGGTAACTAAGTTAGCAGCCACTTCCAAAGACGCTTCAAACAAGTCTGGTTTGTCATTTGAAATGAGCCCTAAAAGATTAAGCCTTTATAATAGTCTACACTGTTGTAGGTTCTGAAATTTTGATATTAGTTTTATCGTTACCGTATTACAAAGGATCAACGATCATAATCAGCTTGTACATTATTTTGTATTGTATTGTGAAGAATGCTTTAGGCACAAACGGCAATAATGTAGATGACGTCTTTACATTCGTTACCATTTTCGTACGGTTGCAAATTCTCCCCAATGACCCCATTTTGACCGTTACCTGCCATGCAGTCTCGTATGTACACAGGTGTCTTCACAGACTTCACTGGCGTGTCACAAGACATATCATATGGCTCCAGGTCGTCATCACTGAGAAAGAAAAACTAGGTCACTGCAGGTATCTAAGGCAAACATAAATCATTTAAATGTCATTGTAAATTAAGACGTGATTGAACTACACTTTCAGTTGACAGAAATTCGGTACATTAAAGCCGCATTCACAGCCTGTTAAGTGAAATTATAAAACGTGTAGGCTTGACCACTGACCTCTCATGATTAGTGTCCAAAATTTTCTACAAACTTGTAAAACATAATAATGAGCCATCATCATTGTTATATTTGAACATACAGTAGTAATCCTTATCTATTCATTTATAAGAATAACATTGTTCAATCTTCTAATCAATTTTATATAGCCGGGGTTAGTTACAACCTAGGCAAACCTTGCTAAAAAGGTACACTTTCTCCATGAAAAGGCTTCTTCTAAGAATCGAATGACCTGATCGATGAAACTGACATACCTATCTAACTCTTCTTCCTCTGCTGTATGGGTTGTTGGCAGGACTTCAGTGTCCCTTTTTTTAGAACCAAAGTCACTTTGTACAACTTCTTTTAGTTTTGGCAAAAATCTGAAATAAATTAATCAGTTTATCCATAAGATAGACGTTTGTTTGACCAAAATTCATACGTAATCAGGGAAAATTAAACATGAGTGGCATCAGTGGGTCGACAAGCAGATGTCAGGGCCACCTGACAGCTGCCATAGTATTGAGGTAACATCTGTTTGAGTATTGCAATAAAATGTGTCGGAGAAAATTTTAAGTAGCATTGTTTTCTAGAGAAACTTGAGTTGAAATAACCTAAATTTTTTCACCTCAGCCATTCATTTCACTTTATTCAAATTAAGAAAACATCAATAAAAAAAGCGGTCACAAGTTGTGGCTCGAAAGCCAAATTGTATGAGAGCCTTACAATTTCAGAAATAATTAAGACAATGTATAAAAAAATTAATTAAAAGCAAGACCTCCCAAACACAAGTGACAATAAGTACTTTAGTTACTTAGCTCATATACATGTATACAGTAAATACACATAAAAATAGCCATATACACATATATAAGCAAAGAAGCAAGGAAAACCAAACAGCAGCGTCAGTAATTTTGCCTGTGTATATGTATATATACACATAAAAATGCCTATACACATATATACAGACAAAGAAGCAAGACCCTAGGCAGAGCTGAGATGGGTGTGGCCCATCTAATGACACAATTGAAATTAAATAGCAATGAATATGAAGTCCACCATTGAGATGTGCTTGAAGGAATACCACTGAATATACACCCAATTCATCTTGAAAATTTAAACAATTAATCTGATAAACAATGTACACATAATTACTTTTGAGTATCTTCTTTACTGGGTTTTTTCGGTGGGTGAAGTAGCGATTTAAACGCTTCAGTTTCAGCATTCTCTTCGTACTCAAATTTTAGGGAGTGGTGCCCGGATGAATCAAGCTGCTTAGTAAGCGTTTCGGCCAACATCATACCAAGTTGACGCATGTTTGGGATCGGAGACTGAAGGTGGTGTTTCATACCATCCATCAGAAACTTCAAATAATCTTGAGAAAACAGAATAATAATGTGTGATCATAAAACAGGGGTAGTATATTTAATATTCACAATAGAAAGTGCTTTATTACACATACAAAATTTTAAAATAATTTAATACAGATAGTAAATACATTTTGTGATTCTCCTTGCAGAAAAGTCCATGATTGCTTAAGCAGATATTAAGTAAACTGAATAAAATAAATATATGAATTTTTTTTAATGGAAAAATAAATAGACTTTACCATCTTTATTTTTGCAGATTTCAGTTTGATTAAGGTGACCAATGGCAATGACGACAGCTTTTGAGATGTAGAGATGTTGATCATAAGATGTATGCTTCACTGAACTCCCATCCGACCACGTCTCTAGCAAAGATTTCAAAATCTAGGAATATAAAAAAATCATCAAGTAATTTTTATAAATAACATATATGGCAAATAATATATATATCAAGATTAGATCATTTATACTAAAATTATTATTTAAAAATTTGATATTTGATGAAAGAAAAGAAAGTAATAGAAATAATACCTCATTCAGACAACACTCTGTTGCGATCGGTTGCGAGGTAATCGGTGGTAACCCAAAACTAATTACTCCTGATTGCAATCAACAAACGCATTCAGACCAACACAAACAACCCTTATATTTTAGGGACTAGGTCTCCGGTGACTAGGCCCGTGTTGACTGACCTCAGCCAAACAGTGCCTGTGGATTTCGTTGTGATTCCGTGGTACGTGGTACTTGGGAGTAATAAAGATTATAGCACCCAATCGCAACAGGTAACAACTGCGATATCAATTACCTGCGATTGGGTGTCGCAATTACTACAACTGATCGCAATGCGATGCCAGTTTGAATGGGGTATAAGACAAAACAATAAACCTACACAGTAAGACCATTGACCAAGCAAAATTTACCTTTGGTAGCAACTTCCTTCTTTTTTCTGAGCCAGCTAAATAACCAAAGATATTTTGCAGAAACAAGTCCTACAAAAAAAAAAACATAAGCTTCTTGCTCATGAGAAGAACTACAGTGTACAATGCTAACATTATAGCTACATGGGTAAACGCAGGACCACACTTGCTAAATGATGGCTTATAGTTTGAGTCTTTTATTGGGTTCAGAAAATCAAAACAATGGAACTTACTTACTTCCTCATTTTTACTTAAACTGTTAACTCTAAAATCAATGAATTAAATATTGGTTAAAACTCACTTCAGGGTAATGCCTCATTAGAAGAAGCTTCTTGGTTAGAAGTGTCTGCAGTGTGTTGCTCTTGGTTACAGCATCTCCTAACATGTTGCCAAGGAACCCAAACCTAACAAAAATACACAATTTCAATATTAAAGTTATAAAAATAATGCACTATTTCAATATTAAAGTTATAAAAATAATCTTTCAAATCAATGATGTGTTGAGGGCAATTTTACCATATATTGAGATGAAAGTCACTTATTAGATATGAAGAAAGTTGAGTCTTACCAAGGAGTCTTCTTCAAAACTCCCACCACAAGCTTTTCCAAACACCTGTCAGGAACATGTAAGAACAGCTGTTCACATATTCTCTGCCATATGAGGCTATCATCGGAAAGTTCAACTAATGAGGGCAGTATAACATCCAGTAGTGTATCTGGAAAAATGAAGCCCAGAAACCAAATGATTAAAGCTGCATTCCCAAAATGTTCACACACATTAGTGGTGGCTCCAGAAATTTGCCGACGAGGGCGCCGAAATGTCCAGTTGGGAGGTCCGAACCAAGGGTTTGACTAGAGCCTTGATCTGGGTCCAGGAATAAAAAATCCTGGTGGAGTTCATGGCGAGTTCAATCAAAATAATGTTTTGGATAGGCAAATTAGCATTTATCATCGGACGACTTTGCCATGGTGTCCAGGTCTGTCTAACAGGGACAGTAAAATGTAAAAAATCCTGCATTCTGTGGTCGGCTACGATGTTATAAATTTGAAATAAGTAATTGAAACCTACCTGTGTGACCACTTTGACAAATCCGTCCAATCAGAAGACCCAAAAATGTGATAGATAAACTCTCTCCATCTATGGAGTAATAAGGCAATAATCATTACAAAAAATTAGAGAGTTTTAAATAATTCCAATATGCAAAATGTGCAATTGTAATATACAACAGAGGCGAGTCGATTGGCCAAGCGGTTAAGACAGAGTTCAAACGGCACGCTCGCCTATGGTTCCGGTGGTGGAACATGTCTTCTCAGATAAGGACGCTGAACCGTCCTCGTGTAAACTTTGAAGAACCAGTACATCCTTCGAGAAGAGTAGGGGTTACCCCGGTGTACTGGTCCATTTCATCCCCCTGCCTGGCCACAGAAGGAGCATTTACGTTGCGGCCCATGTCAGGTATCCTACCTGAGAATCCTTTTACCACACTACGTAAGTAAGATCATACACACTAGCTACATAATGACTCGAAAAGAAGAAGATCCATAGCAAATATCTAGTTACTCCAATTTCCCTGTATCTGACCCCTGCCACTAAAACCCCATATTTTTGAATTCTATCAAATGCAAAAAATCCCAATGTGTATAGTATACACAAATACTAAAAAATAAATCCAAAATCAGAGTTTATGTCCTTTGTTGTGTTCATAACAATCAATAACTTTGGCTTCGACTTATAATGTATTTTACAAACCTTGTAAATTCTGTTGTACTTTTATTAGAACATTCAATATGTCTCTTGCAAGGATGGTAAAATATGGCTGAGGCAACAGTCTAGGTCTATTATTAAAGAAATAACAATTTTATTCACCTCATAAAGTTAATACATATGATGTTAACACGTTCGCTGCCAGCGACGAGTATGCTCGCCCACAGGGTGTTGCTGAGGGTGCCAGGGACGAGTATACCCTTCAAAATCAGGGTAACATTCTAGCACATCTGGTAGTAAGGGGGAAGATATACCTAGACAATAACATACAAATGATGTATGCATGTTTGTTGTGTTATGTTGCTGGTAGTACACTTGAGCGGCACAAGTGGGGTGCCCTTTCAACATATACCAACCCATGCAAAAAGCGGACGAAATAACTTGCACTTGGCATAGTATATAAAAAGTGCTATCACATTGCCGTCGACGAGTATACTCGCCCCCTAATATTTTCCTGCCAATTTATTAGACATATCACTTTGATGATAAAATTTCAAAAAAGTATGTTTGTACATGTAAACTTGTTTTGGTACATGGGAAGGAACCTTAAAAAAATGTCTGGCAGTTAACGAGTTAATACCAAAACATACTGAAAAAAACACACAATCTGAGCAAATTCTTAGCTTAAATTAAGCATTTACTTAGAGAGTTATTATACAAATATTTGAGTACAATCATATCAAGACTGTGGGAGCAACTAGGGGTGCATTGGAGCGCATACAGCACTCACCTTTTTCAAAAAATTACAATATACAACATGATTTTGTTCCATTATGTTACTTTGTGAACTCAGATTTCATTGCTGCCCACAAACCTTTAAAGCCCCCAAAATTCCAATTAAAATCTGACAATCATGTAATGCATTGAAGTACACCCTTATTATTTTGATTGTAAGTTGTTGAATTACCCAAGTCGTTTCTGTAATTTGTTTGCAACTCTGTCTGGCAAGGAAATGATCAATGTTATAGCGCCCTCCCATTCAGTCTGTCGTTTAACATCCTCAGCATGACCTTTTGGCACAAAGCACTGTTGCCAGATTATCTCCTCAAATTTGTGCCTATGAATCAACTCTGTGAGTAGAAAAACACACTTGTCTTGTTTAAAACTGGGTCTGCCATTGAAAAGAAAATAGTTTTATAAGTTCAAGTGCTGAATTCAATAGCTTTAATTACACAGTACATGATAAAAAAAAATCCCCCCCCCCTATGTCCGATGCCACACATCGTCGGATGGGACCATGTCGGCAAATTCCTGAACCAACCAGACAAGTGACCTGCACATCCAGATTGAACTGTCAACTGCAAGCTTGAGAGCCCAAACCTCAACATTAACTTCTATGTATAATGTGCTGGCCGTAAATTTATGTATATAATTTTTCTTTGGATATCAATGTTGTTTATTGTTTAATCTATGGATATGTAGTTCCAATAAATGTTATTCAGAGAATTTTTGTACTGTTGCAAAAAGCTTCACTGTGATAAGACTTGCATGAATATAGAATCATACTTACTTAGATTGTGGAAGAGCATGGCAGAGATACATGAAGGAATTCAGAGGCCAGCCATCAAGGAAGAACACATCCACATAGTCTGTCCACTCCTTCTTGCTTAGCTTCCGACTCCAGTCCACACAGAAATGATCACTAAGTACACTTAGGAAATGAGCATAATGGAAATGTTGGAATTCTTCCCGGGCTTTAGGAAGCAGCGCTTCTGGAAGCCATGAGTTTTCGGGTGTGTCTTGGGTGGGAAGGAGGATAAACAGGTGTTGAAGCTTCTGTTTGATGTTCAAAGCATCGGTGGCAGTGTCTAAACTTTTTATGACATCATAAACTTCTGTTCTGATAAGGATTTTGTGATGTTGATCAGACATCATAGTTCTGACGATAAAAAATGTAAAATTTATATTGGTGTACAGCACTAAAAAAAAACAAAACCATATAAACCTTTTTTTTTAAATTTAACTTTGGCACAACAGCCAAGGATATTCCAAACAGTAAACTTAATTAATTTATTACTTATTGTATTATTAAATACATAGAAAGTGTAAAAAGTGTTAATGAGACTCAGACTGCCAAAAAATTAGAGCATTGCACATGAAATTCCAAAACATAAAAAACATCCAAAAACTGTAATTATAGCAAAGAAAGTTAGGGGAAAAATAAGTTTGTTTGTAGTTAAAGATATATAAACTGTTATGCCATCATAATAGACACTTACTTTATAACAGACTGAGGAGGTTCTGTTAAACGAGGGAACTCTACTTAACCGCAGTTGCCACAGTATCATAATATTATATGAGGCTGTGCCTTTAGGCCAGTGTTGGGCACGAGTTGAACTTAATTTGGGTAAGGGTTCGCCAAAGTTAGTACGAATTAGCACATTGGTATGACGAGTTATTTAGGGCTACACAGGCCGAAACAGTCCTACTCCTTCCTACACTAGCTACCTAGGCCTGGCTACACCGGCGCCTAGCCTAGGCTAGTGCAAGGATATATTACGGTATTAACAAATAACAGATTATTATAATACCTAAATAGCAAAAACTTACTGCAATTAAAAACTATTATTTTGTTTCACTCTCTCACACAGAGTCGCATGTCGCACGCATGGTATCGTCTGGTCCGCTGGTGGCGTTTTACAATCATTGGTCAAAGGTCAAAACAAGGAATACACAAAAAGGGTCAAAACAAATAAAACTATGGTAAAGATGTCAAGAATAAAGCTGAAGTTTGATGGTTTTGATATGCCACAGTGCATGTTCCTTATTGATCAAGATCTTGTATTGATTAGCGACCTAAAACGAAGAATCAAAAAACGTTTTAGCATTCAAAAATCATGTAAACTCAGTTTGTTTATTGATGATTTTCTAATACCGCCTCAAGATAGCATCAAGTTGATTCACGAGAACGACGTGGTAGTGGTGAGGTACAGTACGCTCCCGTCTGATTTACAAATTGTGTGGACATATAGGCTAGGCCTAGCTTCTTATGCCTAGGTTCAAAAATAATGTAATCACTTCTTAGGATAGCTGTTTTAATAACATAACATTGATATGAACATATTATTACTCTAGTTATCTAAAAATAAACAAAACCACATGTGCCTAGGGGCCTATCTGTGAGCGTTCTGGACGAACAACTTTGACCGGGATGTATGGAAAAACCGAAAGGTCCACTGATTAATCTCAGATAAGAAAGTATAATACATACTCCAAGTCTGTCTCTTATACACATCTAGATGTGTATAAGAGACAGCAAGCTTTTCCAAACACCTGTCAGGAACATGTAAGAACAGCTGTTCACATATTC